GTACGTTACCGCCAGGGAGCCTGTGTTTAACCCTACCGTCGGGACCCTTGACGGTAAGAAAAAAGATCAGATTAAAAAAATTAAACTAGGGTCAGATCCTAAAATTCTTTGCTAAAAGGGTCAAAAACATGAAAATTTGCCTGTCTCCGCCGATCTGTCGGAACTTGGAAAGTAGGAACAAGTAGCTACCTGAGCGCAGCGCACACAGAACAGCCAGGCTGATCTTGCATAGATTCTAACACTAGGCATTAATAAATTTTACAAACAATTCCCTCCTGTTTTCGAGATGCTCGCGTATGCATGTGGCACTTGCAACTGCATGCAGGCCTGCCCACGTGTACACCCGTACAGAAACACTTCACGAAATAACACCAACCAAGCTTACACCACGAACCAGGACAAGTAGCAACAAAACAGCAGAAAAATATTCATAAAGAAGAACAAAGAAACACGCTTCAGGTCACATTATTTTTTGTGCTGGTGTGCTTTGGTGCGTGCATCCAGCACCACACTCCGTCCGATCGTTCGCAGAGGACAAGCTATAGGACGGAACGGATACAGTTGCCACGGTAGCTTTCGAGGTGCGTACGACAACTCGGAGAAAAGCGACGTGGAAATTTGTGTGGAATTTGCTCGGTCCTCGCGTGGGCTAGCTAGGCGCAGGCACTGATCGGGTCTTGTTTAATCCCGCCGTGCATTCCCGCGATGCGTCATGGCCTCGTGGGTGGGGATGCCGAAACGAGCGAAGGGGAACAAACACCGGCGCCCGTCGAGGTAGTAGGAATAGAATCTCGTTCGGGTTCCGAGAATGCTTTTGGCATTGGCTCTCCATGCACGGGGCACACGGAGATGCGGTGGTGCGAAGCAGCTAGCGCCTAGCGCAACATACTTATTCTGGTGCTGCTCGAGTAGATCTCATTCTGATGCTGCCTCCGCTATGAATGGGAGCCTCGTTTTAAGTCCTCTAGTACGAATACGGGTGAGCATGTACGAACGAGCAATTTAAGTTGTTTGATGGTTGTGACACTTGTGGATGGTGGGTTGCATTGCACTCCCTACTGCGTATGAGAGATGACGTCCATAACCAAAACAGACAAGCACTCAACAATGTATTCCTACACAAGAGCTCATGCTTGCGATTCATTGCTCACGAGAATAACATGAGAATTTTAGTTGTACAACTTCGCGGTCGGATTGAGACATCGAGGAAACTGGATGAGAAATGTGGAAATCTTTGTAAGCTAGGAATCGCTAAAACTAGTTTTCCAACATCGTCAGCGCCGCATGATAAATTCTTCTGTTAGCCGTTTCTCTCTTGTATGCTGATTTCAGCTCCAGAACCGTTGGACAGCGACATCTTATCTGCTGTGCAAATTTCCAGACATAAGAGTAAATTTCTCACAGCTTTGGGTTTCCGCGACAGAGTATGCATGTAGTTATCGAGCACAACCCCTTTGTGAAGAACTGAAGATGAAGATGAAGATGATTGAGTGTCAATGTATCAGGACTGCAAAACAAGGGGGCAGTCCAGCACAATCGCTATCGGTAGTACGTAGCCAATATGCAAAGCAGAACAGATGAAGCTGTGGTCACAATCAACTCCTGCAATGAGATGTCCACCGATTAGTTTTGCTGTTATTACTCTAAAAAATTAGTTTGCTGTTGCAAGATAGTATAAAACAGAATATTCATTTTTTTATTCATGTTTTCCACCAGAAAAGCATCATGCACTTGCTCCAGTGACCTTTCTAGTTAAAATACTTTGAGGAGTACTAACTTGCTAGCTTTCTAGTTCATGCTAAATATCCTTTTTGGCAACAAAAAAAAGAAGGAAGAAAAAAGCTGTCAGATGTTAAGTAAACCGAGCACATTGACTCATCCATATTACAATCCTAAATGTAGTTTTAAACTCTGGTAGAAACTAGGGTGCCGGTCATAACAAACTCCAAGAACAAATATCGACAAGTTTGGCATAATAAAATTGATACTTCTAATCCATCATAAAAAATTAAAACCATACCAAGCAACAATACACATATATCGCCATGCATACTGTACCTGGAAGTTATAAACAAGAGAGGGAATATAGTGACCAAGAAACTGGGAGAAATTGGCCAGTCCGGTATAACCCTGAATGCAAAAGGATACAAAGAAGTCATACTGAGAAGCGGTTAAGAAAGCTGGAGAAACAACACGGGAAGAGAAACTAATACAACTAATCTGGATTGCGCTGTATTTGAACAGTCCACTAACCAGGGATGCAGCAAATATCGATCCAAGTACCAAACCCAAACTACGAAGCACTCGCTTTGCCATATGTATACCTCGGCCTTCAACCTCACCGTACTCCTGCCATAAACATTGTATTTGGATATTATGTTCAGTCACTCATGGAGTAAATAATATGTCTAGGGACTAGGGTAATAACTAATTAGAAGTATAAATGATCCAATATTCCATCTGTTGACAGCACCTCCTTGTTCAGAACCCAAAAACTGCATTTAGCTAAATTTGGTGTGCAACCATTATCCTCTTTAAAAACATGTGCATATCTTCCTAATATATGAAAGCAAATTCAAAACAAGCATGTACTAACATAATAATGCTTTTCAACTCAAGGAGATGCCATTCCCTCTATAAGATGTCTTCTTCCATTAAGTGCCTAGCTACAAACTATTGGACTATTAAAAAAAACGCATTCCACTATTGCACAGCAGAAATAAATGAATTTTAATGACAAGTGTGTGCTTCCAAGCATTATAATAAAAAGGGAAAAGCAAAAATATCTCCTTTAACTCACATGCTTCCAAAGATATATTTTTGTTATTACTCCGTATATTTATACTACCTACACAAAACCTGAACCAATAGATAGTTCATGTTAATGCCAACATTATGTAGAAACTATTTTGGAAGATCCTTACATTGTATACAGGAGTTATTGCTGGCTCGGTAGACTTCAGTTTCTCAAGTATTCGATAGAAATAAGCAAAACACAAAAACTGCAAGGGTTTCCAGTCTGCATGGCCCATGGTCAATATGCACGTGATCTGCAAGAAAAGATACAAATGAACATAATAGAACAAACTACCTATATTTGCTGATTCCATGGATATCATTAAGTGCGACGAGATAAATGTGCATACTTTCATAGAACAATTGGAAAAGGTACAAATGCATAGAACATTTCAGCTAAAGCTAAATTGTCCAAAGTAATGCTAAAATATCAAAAAAGAAAAGAGAAACATCATTCAGTAGTTTCCAAGTTAAACCTCTGTGTTTGAGACAACATGGAGCGGAGCAGACCAAAGAAGTACTGTAGGATTTTACTAAAACGCAAAAAAAATATTAACAATTACATATGACTCATTTAGATTTCTTATGGATATTTCAGAAAAGAATGTCTTACAAATGTTGCTGATATTGCCATATTTATTTGTACGTCCTTTGCAGTGGCTCTAGAGTATCTGGAAGATGACGACCAGTATCAGCATATTATGAACAACATTATCCAATGCCCAGAATGAAGATATTTTGCATATAACTAGCACAAAGACTTCACATTTATTAGTAACACTAACATGTGAACAGATCAACATTTATCTAACAGAAGTCAAAATAAGGGTCTATCTGTAAGCAAAATAAAGAAATAAGGACCAAACAAACCGGTTAACCTACTCACTCACTGGTTCAGTGTTCGAACCGTCAGCTCAACCAGTCGATCCGTGGTTCAAAATTTCGAATATAATATATTAAATTGATTTCAAATTAAGTATAAGCTCTACAAAATTTAAGTATATTAAATTGATAGCACTTCATATGCTCTATAAAATAGTCTACAACTTACTTGCCACATTACTCACAAAGGCTATGTAGCTCATGTTTGTACGGGACCTCAGCTTGATGGGTATGAGTTCCTCAGCTTGACTCTAGGGTCACATGCTTTATTTTGTTTGTTTTTTTTCTCAGTTTTCAAGCAAACAGCCTTTTAGGCAAAAAGGACCGGATCAGGCGCCAGTTCTGGTTTATTCAGGTTGGACCGCCAGTCTGGTTTTGTAAACAGTGTTTGTAAGGGCATATTTGATTTGTGCAGCTTTCCAAGAAATAGTTCCATTCTCTCAGGAAACACAAAAACTCCCGCAAGTCAAAAGAAGGATGTTCAGTTGTTCATGTTCACGCATGCATAAACGAGGCAAGCTGTTTAAGGTTCATATGGGTGCTGGGTGCATCTATGTGAATCAAAATGTACACAAACTATGATGAACAAACATATGCAAGAAAAGTTTGGTTCTGATATAAAATGACTATACCTAGGTCCCCAGGGAACTATTGGTTGATTATCAGCATATTTGATGTCCTTTGTCACCTAACATCCAAAAGAGTGAAAATATCAGAATAAAGAATTCAGATGATATTCCTCTCAAGGCTAGTGGAACAAACTCTAATTACTTCTAGGCCTAATAGATAGTAATACTCTGAATTCTGATGATTTCTTGATCGCGGGAGACCCCCAATATATAGGAGGAATAGCTTGGCTGACAAGGCGAGTCAAAAGGAAATACAATCTGGACTCTGAAACAGGTTCTAATCTGGACTAAATCTAATACAAATCTGAACCTAATAACTAATCTAGACTCTGAATCTAATACGAATCTGAACCTAATAACTAATCTAGACTCTGAATCTAATACGAATCTGAACCTAATAACTAATCTAGACTCTGAACCTAATAACTTGTAGCAGTACAGGAATCCTAGCCACTTTGAGCTGGACCAGGGGGCGGTGCGGCCAGGGCTGGGGCCCTCCGACCATATGTGGTTCCCCACATAACAGCTACCAAAGATTTTGATGGATTCCAAGAAGTACAAACTCCTTAGCATCCAGCAATATATCCATGAAGCCAAATGAAGTTGAATTCAGCGCAAGATAATTGACAGTGCTTGACAAAGCAACCATTCTAAAGTGACCAACTAATCATAGACCCGCAGATGGTTACATATATATCTCTATACAAGAATTTGAAACATTTGTGAAATAAAACTATGTCACTCATCAGCAGATAGTTTCCAACATAGCAATTATTTGCTTATTTCAGCATTAAGAAATTTATCAAGGAGCGACAATGAATTGGACAATTGGTTGCAAGCCAGCGTCCACTGATCCACTGATTGAGAGACTCCGGGCAAGCATCCAAAGCAAGGTAGTCAGAATGGCAATTCTATTGTACGGTTCAATGACTTCACGATTCAAACTAACCACTCTGATTCTACGATTTTCGTTAGTAGAATTCACATTTCAATGATTCTGATAGTTAAGATATGATTTGCAATCCTATCATCAGAGCTCCATTCGGATTCAGACCACGGTTCTCACTACCTTGATATAAAGGACTTGTTTCGAAAAACAGCATATAGATTACCGATGGTCCTGCAACTACAATACCTCTTACATCTCCTCCTAAGCAAAGTCGTATTTTTTTTCGAAAAGGGGGGGCTCCCCGGCCTCTGCATCAAGAGTGATGCATACGGCCATCTTATTAACCAAGAAACAAATTGTGCCAACAAAGTTCCAAAGTCTCAAACTTAAAGAAAGAAAAAGCAGCTCACACAAAGCGCAAAAGGCTAGATACACGAACTAGCCAGGAAAAGATGCCACAACCGGCTGGCTAAAAAAGGTAGGTAAACTAATTGTCTATCCTATTACATGACCGTCATCCAAACCGGTTGAAGATATCCCGAGCTACCATCTCCCAACGGATAGACCCAGTAACCAAATGCTCCCTGGCCTCCATCGGAGTGAGTAGCGACCACGAACGGATCACTACCGTAGCTCGGAAAATAACCTGCAAAAAATGAATCTGTGATGTTCTGTTAAAAACCAAATCATTTCTGCAAAGCCAGATGGTCCACAGCAAAGCGCAGACTCCAATCCGAATATGTCTTGCTAAGGTAGACTCAATCCCATTAAGCCAAGTCCCAAATAAAGCATTAACAGTAGTCGGTGGAGTAATGTTAAAAGCAATGTGGACCGTCCGCCAAAGGACCTTGGCCAACGGGCAATCAAAAAAGAGATGCTTAATCGTCTCATCCCGATCACAGAAACTACACCTAGTAGGTCCTGTCCAATTACGCTTTATTAAGTTGTCCTTTGTTAGAATAACTTGTTTATGGACAAACCACATAAACACTTTTATTTTCAAAGGAACTTTGACATCCAGACATTCTTGGAAGTTGGAATGGAGTTCGAATTAATAACATCAATATACATTGACTTAACTGTAAATACTCCAGACCTAGTCAACTTCCAGCGTAATTCATCAGGTTGGTCAGAAAGTTGAACCTCCATTAGTCTCCTAACTAAATGGAGCCAAACTTCCCAACGATTGCCCGCTAGCGACCGTCTAAACTGAATATTAAGGGGGATAATTTGAAATACCGTTGCAACGAACACCTCACGTTGTTGAGTAATACGATATAAAGACGGATATTGAATGGCCAAGGGTGAGTCGCCAAGCCAAGTATCCTCCCAGAAACGTGTAGTAGCACCATTTCCAATAACAACTCTTGTCGTATTAAACAGTAATTGTTTAATTTTCATGAGTCCTTTCCAGAAAGGCGAGTCAGTCGGCCTAACTGTTACCTGGGACAGTGTTCTAGTCTGGAGGTACTTGCTGCGAAGGATCTGCGCCCACATGGCTTCAGTCCCGGAAGCGAGCTTCCACAACCACTTACTAAGAAGGCATTTGTTCTTAACTTCAAGATTCTCAATACCAATCCCTCCTTGGTCTTTGGGTCGACAGATAATATCCCATTTAGTAAGCCGGTATTTTCTTTTAAGTTCATCACCCTGCCAAAAGAAGCGTGATCAATAGAAGTCCAATCTTTTCCTAACACCAACTGGGACCTCAAAGAACGATAAGAGGAACATAGGCATACTCGTGAGCACCGAATTTATCAAGATTAACCGGCCTCCGTATGACATGAGCTTACCCTTCCAGCAACTCAGTTTCTTCTCAAATCGGTCCTCGATACACTTTCACTCTCTGTTTGTCAGCCTACGATGGTGTATCGGAATACCAAGGTAGGAGAAGGGCAAACTCCCCAACTCGCACCCAAACAATTGCCTATAAGACTCCTGTTCGTCTTTGGCTCTACCAAAGCAGAACAACTCGCTCTTATGAAAGTTAATCTTTAACCCGGACAATTGTTCAAAGAGGCATAACAACAGCTTCATATTTCTCGCCTTGGCCAAGTCGTGCTCCATAAAGATGATTGTATCATCAGCGTATTGAAGGATGGATACACCTCCATCAACAAGATGAGGTACCAAGCCACCCACTTGACCATTCTCCTTAGCCCTTCCTATCAAAATTGCTAACATATCCACCACAATGTTAAACAGGATAGGGGACATCGGATCTCCTTGTCTGAGGCCTTTATGAGTCTGGAAATAATGACCTATATCGTCATTCACTTTAATTCCCACACTCCCTTTTTGCGTAAATGATTCGACCTGCCGGCGCCAGGCATCATCAAAACCTTTCATACGCAATGCCTGTTGGAGGAATGGCCACTTGACCTTATCGTACGCTTTTTCGAAATCCGCCTTAAAAATTACCCCATCTAATTTTTTGGAGTGAATTTTATGGAGCGTTTCATGAAGGACAACCACCCTTTCAAGGATGTTTCTGTCCGGCATGAAAGCAGTTTAGGATTGTTGCACCACAGAATGTGCAATCTATGAGAGCCTATTAGTCCCGACCTTGGTGAAGATTTTGAAACTAACATTGAGGAGGCAAATCGGCCTGAACTGCTCAATTCTCACAGCCTCCGTTTTCTTAGGGAGCAATGTGATAGTTCCAAAATTCAAGTGAAATAATTGAAGTTGTCCAGAGAAAAGATCCTGAAACATAGGTAACAAATCCCCCTTAATAATGTGCCAGCACTTTTTATATAACTCGGCCGGGAACCCATCCGGTCCGGGAGCCTTATTGTTTTTCATTTGTGCAATAGCATCAAACACCTCCTTCTCCGAAAACGGGGCGAGGAAGATATCATTATCGGCAGCAGACAATTGAGGTACATCCTTAGTCCTAGACTCATCGAAGGTCACACAATTAACCTCCGGAGGTCCAAATAACTGCCTATAATACTCGGTAATATATGTTTTGAGATTATCCTGCCCAACAATAGTACCCTCATCTTGTTCAAGTTGGAAGATACGCTTCTTTCTGTGCTTATCATTGGCAATCAGGTGAAAGAATTGAGTATTGGCGTCCCCTTGAACCACTTTGCAAACCTTAGCTCGCAACGCCCACTTCAACTCTTCTTCGCGGAGAAGTTCTTTCAACCTCTTCTCCGCCTCAGTTTTAACCTGGAGCTCAGCAGGCAGCAGAATCGCGGATTCAGCTTTTATGTCCAGGGCCTGTATAAGAGAAAGGAGCCTATCCTTCTTAATCTTATACACCCCACTGAGGTGCTTAGCCCAACCCCGTAAGAAACTTCTCAAATGCCTAATCTTATTCTGCCAACGCTCGACAGCCGTCCTACCTCCTACACCCTTAGCCCATTCCCTGGCAATGAGGTCTAAGAACCCCTCACGTTCGAACCAGGCCATCTCGAATGAGAAGGTGTTTTTGTTTTCCACATGGTTCGGCTCCCCGAAGTCCACGAACAGTGGTGTGTGATCGGATATTCCCCGCGAGAGAGCTTGTACCGTAACAAGAGGGAACTTCTGTTCCCACTCCACGCTCGCGAGAACTCGATCAAGCTTTTCATATGTCGGGTTTGGCAAAGCATTAGCCCAGGTAAACTTTCTACCAGAAAGCTCTATCTCCCTCAGATCCAAGCTCTCAATAATGGTATTGAACATAAACGATCATCTGCCGTCAAAGTTATCATTATTCTTCTCCTCTCTCCTCCGAATGATATTGAAATCACCCCCGACCAACATCGAAAGCTGCTCGGACCCACAAATTCGAACAAGGTCCGCCAGAAACTCCGGTTTAAGCTCCGGCTGTGCGCACCTTAAACCGCCACCAAAGCCCAGTTGAAACCATCAACTTTAGACCTAACCCGAAACTTAACCGCAAAGTGGCCCATCACTACACTCCGGACCTCAAGGGAATCGCATCTCACTCCCAGCAAGATACCTCCCGATCGTCCTCGCGGAGGTAGGCAATGCCAATCGAAATCAACACCACCCGCAAGAGAGGAAAGAAACTGAGGAGCAAAATTATCTCTATCAGTTTCAGAGAGAGCAATGAAATCTAATCGATGCTCCAAAGACGCCTCAGCGAGAAACCTTCTTTTAGCCAAGTCCTTCAGACCTCTGCTGTTCCAAAAGATTCCTTTCATAAGTCATCATGAAATTTTTTTGCCGTACGAATCCTAGCACTCCTACGTACCGCGGATGCGGGATACACCTTCCGCTTCCACTTACGTTTGGGTTTATCATTGTCCACCATCCGGTCCTCATAACCGGGCTCTGGTGGTTGATTCACTACAACTTCTACACTAACCTCCTCCTCGTCGGACTCATTAGTGGATGGTGCAAGGTCCGCACACAAATTGTCAAGCACTCTCACCCCCAACGCATCAATCTCAGCATCATTCATAGGTCTCACTGCCGCTAGGTTTCGAATGGTTTCTAAAGCCGTTCCGCTTCCAGATCAAGGGGATCATTAACCGAGTTGGAAATTTTAGAATTGGTATTCCCTAGCGAAACCCCTACTTGATTTGCATTATGAATAATCTCATCCGTAGAAAAATGCAAAATAGAATTGGATAAGTTGACTGACATACCGGTAGTGACCTCAATGTCACGAAGCTTGGCCGCCCTCATAGCGCACCTCTGCTGCATGTCATCAACCTCCGGGTGGTCCTGGAGACGAGAACTCATCCGTCTCCCCTCAGAGACTGGGTCAGGGATCCCGCCGAAAGCAATAACCTCCTCCCGAGTAGCGCCACTCGCAGGAGGCAGCGGCGGAAGGCTCCCACGGCGAACTGACAGGAGGCCGGGTGAGGTAGGTGCCGGCGCCGCCTGCCCGAGCACCCCCTCCGCCCCAACCCTCAAGCCTGAGGGCATCACCATCCCGATAGCCGAAGGCGAGGGATGGACCGGGGCCACCTGCCCCAGACTCCCGCCGAGCACCACAGGAGAAGCCGCAACAACCGGTGCCGAAAGGGAAGGGTCTGAGGCCACCTGCCCCAGACGGCCTCCCTCACGGCCGGCCAGCGACGGCGAAGCTGGCGTCGCCGGGGCCACCTGCCCCTGACAATCGCCGATCAGCACAGGAGAGGCTGCAGCAGCCAGTGCCGAAAGGGAAGGGTCCAAGGCCACCTGCCCCAGACGGTCTCCCTCACGGCCGACCAACGACGGCGATGCAGGCGTCAACTCAACCACCAACCGTCCGCACGAGACCGCAGAGATCCCAGGGGGGAAAGGGGCCACCTGAGGCTCCACATTCCTTCCCCCCCCCCCAAGGTCGTCTCCGAGTGGCCCGTCACACAGTCTCCCACCGCGGGACAAACAGCCGGCATAAAATCCAGCACCGGGAGCGAGCACTCAAAAGCATCCTCAGACTTCACCCGATCGCTCCAAAGTCTAGGAGGAGCAGACGCAGGCTCAAAAGATCCAAACCTCAACGTGCTGTTAGGTACCGACGGAGATGGGGCTGGCTCTACCCCTGATCCAGTCTGGGGCAACTGAGCAACCGGTCCCGACCCGTTGGGTCTCTCTCGACTAGCCTCATCAGTCGAATCCTTCCTAGCACCCGCATTGTCGTCTCCCTCGTTTATATCCATATCAGTACTAACACCCGCCTCGGCAAACAACTCAGAGTCCTCAAACTCAATCTCAAGAGGGAATACCTCTCCCCTGTAAGTCCAGTTAACCACATCCGGGACGAACTCGATGTCCAGAACACTCACTTGCAATCAGGCCACCCCATGGGCGCGAGTGAATGTCATATCCACTTTCTCAGTTTTGCCAACCATGATACCCAGACTAGCCACAACCCGAACATCTGTCAGAGCCTCAGAGGGTGCCCCAGAAAAACGCAGCCACACCTGAGTAAGGGGCTTCCCCTTAGGCTCCACTTTCTTCCACTCTTGAAACTCAAGAATACAATTAGTACCTGGCACCTTACACGTCCCAAAGCTCAGCAACCGCCGCAAGTCCTCTACCGACGGGAGGTCAACCCTGAACACGCACTCCTCAATGAGAACAAGCTCCCACTGAAAGTCTCCCGGAGCCAGTTCCTGAAGCCTCTGCACAATCTGAGCTTCAGAGACCTCTCCCTGGGTCACCTTCACAATACCAGTAGTCATGCTCTGCGTCTCAACTGGAATCTCTCTCGCAGCTGGGGACTCAAAGAACATCAACTCGGCACAATATACTCCATACGTTGTAAGAGGCGGAGCCTGCTCACGAAGAAGCGGGCAATCCCCCGAGGCATGTGTTGGCTTACCACATGTATCACACAACTCAGCCACACACTCAGCAATGAAGTGACCTTTCTCACCACAACGATAGCAAAACATTTTCTCCTTCCTACGCGCCCACTTGGATGCCCTCTCAGACTCAGACCTGATACCCGCGTCAACAGAAGCGCCAGACATATCAACATCCGTGGTCGCCAGAGCCGTGACAACCTCCATAACCTCGCTAGTCAGGGCGGTCGCCTGAGTGGGATTAGCCTCCACCGCGGACGCCTGCTGGTCTACAATGGCCTGCGGCTGATGCTGTCTGCGGAAACCACGACCACCACCTCGACCATGACGATGACCACGGTAGCCACCTCTCTGCCGTGCGTCCAGTCCAGAAGCGCCCTCGACAAAACCACCCAGAGGACCAAGGAAGGGCCTCTCAGCAGAACCATCACTCTGCCAGGCATAACCTCGGCCACCTCCCGTCGATGACGATCCACGGTGTTGACCATCCCCGCATCATAGCCATCATCCCCCCACTGTCCTCGAGGCGGATCCGATGACTCGGCAGTCATGTTGTCATGTCTCGTCTGCGTAGGACCCGAGCGATTTTGCGTCGGCCTTGCAATGTAATGAGGCGGTGGTGCTGCTCGAGACTGCACGCCGGCATGGGTTGCCTGAGCCGCCGGCCGAACCCCATCGACAAGGCCAACCGGTCTAGGGCCATTATGCACCGGCGGCCTTGGCGGAGCAGCTCCACACCCCACGACGAAAGTGACCGGAGGCCTCGGCGGAGGTGCACCACGGCCCGCGACGGCCATCGAAGTCAGGAGCACTGGCGGCCTCACCCCGGGCTGCACGCCAATTCCACGGCCCATCGTGGCTGCAGCCGCACCGCCAGGAGCTCCGGTGCCCCGACCCGACGGCACCCCCCCA